TGAATTTCCAAGAACGAAACTTGGATAGGTACCAATACTCCTCATCTGCCTCAAGTCCTCGTATTCCTTAACACTTTGAGGAATTGTACAAAATTCCTGTAAGCGGTTTTCCTTTCCTTTTAATATGTCCAGGTCAGTTTCCTTGAAATCGATTTGATCAATATGAATATTGATACACTTTTCCAGTTGATTTAAATTCCATTCCAATCGCTCCATTGCCTTTTCGATTTTTCCATTCCATTTTGGTTCACTGTCGAGTCTCATTGTAATGTTGAAAACAAGGACTTTGAATTTTGGACTTTGGATTCGGAACATTACAGTAAAAGATTCGCGGTGGAACAATACATAGATTTTTTATAGTATAATATTATATAAAACAAAACAAAACAAAAAACAGAACACGAGTGTCGCTGCCATTGACCTTGTCATTAGTAAAATTCACTATTATTGTTAAGTTATGAGTATCATTGTTAATCTTGTATGAGTTCTTACTGAACAATGCCTGGCTGATTCTCAGCAGATCCATTTCTCGACAGGTTCATCATATCGACCCAAAACAATATTGCGATGTATTTTAAATCATGTACATTTTAGTATACTGAGCCAATGTTTGTATTCAACAGCAATTTATGGTCAAGAGCCAGGTCTTCGCGGTTGCGACGATGTCTTAAATTTCTAGCCATGATTCATTATTTTGTCCATTTCGATGTGTAAGAGATGAAGAATGGGCCTTTAATACATTTAATATTGAATGTCTTGGTACAATACTATTTATTAGTTTCCCAGTTTGTGTAAAAGTGGAAAACTATTGCATACTTCTTCAGATGAGGAGTTATTTATTAGATTTCTTTGTAGTGGATATGTTTATATTCCTCTATTACAGTGTGACAGGTATCAGTCTTGCAAAATTATATATCATTTTCTCAGTTGCTGTTTTGACGCTTCACTACTTGTACTTAAAGATTAACGATTTAAATTACTATTGCGGTCAAGAATGTTTCTTTTAAGACTACTACTATCCTGTGACTTACATTTTACCCATTATCACTTCTTCAAGTGCCTCAGGATATTTAGCAACCATTTTCCCTGCTATTTTGTCGATCTCAGATGATTATGTTGGTTTTTTTTTGCAGCATTCTTGAATTGAATAGGATGATGTTCTTGTTCTAAAAGCCACGAATATTCTCTGGCGGACGCTGCTTTGCCTTGCAAGGATCAATGATTTCGGTAACAAGTGTCAAGGGATCTGAAATTTGTCTGTCCAAAAAAGATCTGCATCTTCAACTCCAAGATCAGAATCTGAAGTACTGGTATTATTATGGGTCATTGGTGAGGATCTTGTGAAGATGTCAAGTTTGAAATATCACATCAAATATTCGGGTTATAAAGATAATGGAAATGAAATTAATGGTTGGTTTTGGAGAAGGGGGGGGGGGGCATGCCACATTTTTTTTATTTGCAAGAACACCACAAATTAATACCCTAGCTATGTCTCCTGCTAGTCCTAATAACTTAAATGAATAGGCCTACACCCTGTTCCATTAAAAATGGACGCAAGTGGTGTGCATGCATGTGAAAAAAATGATAAAATTACCCAATTAACAAAAAATAATTTATATAGTCTACCTGTATTCAGCAAAGATCTCTTGGCTGTCTGTAGTAATTCTCTTGCTGGAACCAATTTTAGATATCTCGCTTGAAGAGGTTAGAGACTTTCTACATCTATTCTATAACACCAGATTCTTCAAATTGTTTTCGAAGCATACTCAATTACAAATTTACGATCTCGAATTAAAGTTTTCAGGCTCATGATACAGCTACTGGGCCTGATGATATTCATTATGAAATACTCAAGCATCTTCCTCATCCAACATTAAAAATTTTTATGTATATTCAACCAGATTTGTGATGACGGTGTATTTCCTCCATCTTGCTACCACTGTACCCATTCATAAACCTGGTAAGGATCCTACGAATCCTACTAATTACCGCCCTATTGCATTGACAAGCTGCATTTGTAAAACCAGCGAACGGAGCTTTGGTTCGTTCCAAGTTGGTCAATTGCTCGATTTCAAATAGACTGTAGTTGTCTACAAGTCTAAAGTTCTTGAAATAAGGTCTAAATATGTATATACAGATGGGTCTAAGGCCGGTGATAAGGTAGCAGACGCTACTATTACACTATCTGAAGTCTTCCACCAGCAGCCATTATTAAAATCAGACCACGACTAAAAAATGAATTCCTAACCACAACTGTTATCAACCTATGCCAGAAGAATCTTACAGATGAGCAGATAAAACTCCTCTCCCGGGGCCTAAATTTTCACTAGTTACCGAACTAAAAAAACATGATGACTTCATCGTCAACATAGACCAAATTAGCGCCAGGCGGTCATATCAACTACCCAAGACACACAAGTGACAAGAAAACAAAAAACAACTTAACCCAAGTTTGGAGAGATGCACTCAGAGACCTCAGTAAGACAGTAAAATCGCCATTTTACCAGCAGATAAGGGTAAAGCCACAGTCATGATGGATAATAAAGAGTAACAAGAAACTGTCAAGAACTACTGCGAAAACTTACAGGAGACTACGTAAAAACCCAACGAGCATATACAAAGACAGGTTGGACAAGAAGCTAAACGAACTTAAAACCAGTAACCAATAACTTCAATTTAAACTAAGATCAGCTAGCTCCTTCATTTAAGACTCAGAAGAATATGTTACCAAATTTAAAGTACTGCAGACCATAGGGAAGATGTACTGTGATGTTGTTGACTTAATCACCAATGTCCCTTGTAAAGATGTCACATATACACGATAACCTTCGAATAAAGGACCATGGAAACTTCTCAATCTGATGCTGATAATATAGACACGGACTATGACGATGAAAAACCCAGGAGAAAAATGGCAAGGAAAAGTGGAGAATGAAATTGGAGATACGAAGCTTCAAAGGAAAGGCGTATCCACTATATTTGGCGAATTACTGGTAGTCTAGAAATTTGAGACAGAGAGTATAACAGATTTCAGTCTAACGTTCGTAATGTTGTTCTACAGACTGGCAGAGATGATTTAAGACCACAATATCAGCAGCCGTTTTGTAATTCAATGCAACAGAGCACTTCACGTAATAATTAGCCAAATGATTATCCAGACTTGAATGAAACGTTTTGCTCATTTATTCCAGGAGAACGCTAAACGGAAAATATCCGAGGATAGA